ATTTAATTTTTGGAGGCGAGAGGGGGGCGCTAATTCGAAGGGGGGCGCTTATTGGAAGGGGGGCGCTTATTTCATTTTCGGATTTTTGACGTGAAAATGACACTGGTATTTTTATTTCTTGTGACCTTAACTGTAACATAAGTATGAAAATTTTGAAAACGTTAACATTCTAGAAAGCAACATTAACATTTTGTGAAACTTGAAATGTTCTCCAAGCGATTTCCTGGTGCCCGTTAAAGGGCATGTGTATTGTACAATGCGTTTAACATCGTGAAATGTTTTGTATATATAAAGAAAGCCTGCCGTTAATGTTCAGCGGTTGTCTTCAATTTAACACACAATGAAAATAGTACTGACATTGTTTATGCTATATCGCGTCTTTCGCTAACCATTTGATCCTTAATCAATCTCAATTTCTGTATCGCTGTCATCAAGCAATGTTGACACAGGAGCAGCATCTTCAACATCTGATAGCGTGATATCCTGAAAAGGATCATTCACCAGTGTTTGCTGAAGTTGCTGCTGAACTGCCTTCAGTTGTGCCAGGCCAGAATGACAAGGTTGACTCGGCTTTAAGCAGTGTATCAGCTCATCTTGAGAACCGTCGACAGCAAGTGTCAGCGCACAGCACTTGAAGGAGTTAACAATAATGTCCTTATCCAGATCATTCCATGCTTCAATGATCCACTGGACAATCTCTCGCCTAGGAGGAGCTCGCATGTTCCCTGCTGCAGTAAACGTGTGTTGACCATTTGCCATCCACTCGTCATATCTCTCAGTCACTTTGGCTTTGAATGGTTTGTTCCACGATACATCAGGCGCTTGGATATATTTCGTACACCCCCCAGGTATAATTACAGGATCTATCTTCGCGCGATTGAGCTCTTGTTTAACGCTGTCTAAGACGTGGCATCTAAAAGAATCCCAAGCCAGCATCCGTCTGGTGAACGAAAACTGGCCCAAGACACTTTTAACCCAAGAAACGGTTAGTTCTTCATTCATCCATCCATTCGAGGACGCTACGACACACTTTGTTCTGAATTCCTCATTCAGTGCTTTCGACTCTCTCTGGCACCTGGAAAACGATGAACGGCTTTAGTTTGGTACCGTCTCCTTTGCAGTCAAACACACTGAAACCTTCGTTTTTTCATGGCCAGTTGTTTTCAATCGAATTGTGCTTTCGCCAATGTTGTCGACCGTGGTATTGGATACCATATCTTGCCATACTGCTGTCTCATCCATTGCAATGATATCCCTGTCTTGGTAAGCGATTTTTACATTGCCGGCGAATCTGCAAAACATACGCTATGAGTTTGTCTATCAGTTTCTCGGGGGCCTTTTGTGATTCAGTGGTTTTGCGTCTGATTGCCAAACCATGTCTTGACATGAACCGCTGTAACCAACCGGAACTGGCAAGAAACGATGGTGGCATTTCCTTCTTTGCATTTCTCGTTATCGAAAAATTTTGCTTTGCTTGCGATCATTTTTCTGGAAACACGAAGGCCATTGGAACGGCGCTCATGTACCCACTGTAATAATGCTTCTTCTAGGTCTTCATCGAATGGCTTTCGTCCGCCTCCTTCAAGCCGCTTTCTCTTGCTGCTAGTATCTTCCAATTTGCTTTTCTTTGTCGCCATTCTCTTACTCTCTTGCGGTCGACACCAAACTTTGCTGCGGCTTTTCGGTTACTGTTACACTCTTCGGCAAATTGAACAGCCTTAAGTTTAAATTCGTTAGAATAAGAAGAGTTCTTCAATCCTGCGTGCGATGTAGATGCTAGAGTTATACTTTCGTCCATGATGTCAAAGGTAAGCATGCTGTAATGCGAGAAGGCCGGAAAAGACCTCCCATGAGAAGATCACATTGTATCACGTGCTACCAAACACGTGGGTGACATTCATCTGCTGTTTACAACATGGCGCGTTCAAGCTATACCTTTACTTGGCAAATGGTTTACGAAATAGAATTTGCGTCTGTGATAAGAGGACACCATGTTTATAAAGCTGAATGGTCACCACAGCTTGGAGAACGGCTAGTGTGTCGGAAAGACGATCGAAAGGAGGCTAAAGAGCACGATGAATATGCGATTGGAACATTTATTCAAGACAGTGGCAAGCTGGTTGGACATGCGCCCATTGAACTTTCGTTCCTCGTGTTTACATTTTTACGAGCTCATAAGGATAATGCGGTGGAGGTAAAAGTAACTGGAAAAAAAACTTGAAAACGGCCTAGTTGTTCCAGGAACTTTTAAAGCAGTAACACGAAGCCGGCGACTGGGAGCAAAGTTTAACGAGGAACTTGATAAAGTAAAGCTCCTATGTGCCCACATGGATATTGAAATCAAGCAAATGAGAAGCAAACCTCTGAAGAACATTGATTTTGAGTTCTAACGAATGTCCGTTACCGATGTAAAAAATTAAAAATACTGTGTATCGAACTGAGTACCGAAGTTCATCTTTATCGGGGAAGGGTGGGGGTTGGGGCGCTTATTTGAGAGGACGCTTATTTGAGAGGACGCTTAGCAAAACCCGTCTTTTCTCGAGGGCGCTTATTGGAAGGGGGGCGCTTATTTCAAAATTTGAGTCCTAGGGGGGGGCGCTAATTCGAAGCGGGGCGCTTATTGGAAGCTGGGCGCTTATTCGAGCATTTACGGTACACAAAAACTACAATTTCATCCCGACAAGCCTGTTTCGTGATTTCTCACTCTTCAGGGGATAATATTAAATGGATACAAAGCATGTGCTAGATATATATACAAGAGGAAGTTAGGTTAAAAATTGAGATAGAATTACATAATATATTGAGTGTACGATTACAAATTACATAAAAGTGCTTTGTGTCTATGGCGACAAGAGGAGATAAGTTCGTTACGTTTGTTGAGTGATGATAGTTGTGGTTGGTAGGTGATGAAGAGTTTTTCTTTCAGGCATAGGTTGCATCTTTTGTTGGCGCTGTTGTACGGTTTGCTGTGAGTAATGATGTTCCATGAGATATTGTGAGCGATGTTGTTGTCTTTTAGTGTCCATATGTGTTTGCTGAGTTCGGTGGAGTTTCTTAGTTTTGTGGCGAAAAGAGGCAGTATGGTTTCTGTGTCGAGTCTTAAATTCGTTTTCTGTAAGTCCGATGTAGGTCTCAGTTGTGTTATTGTCTAAACGTTTAACAGTTGCTTGGTAGATGACAGATGATTGTAGGCAGTTTCCGTTATGGGCAGTTTTGTTTTGACGGCAGTTGCATGTTTTGTTTGTGTATTTTGTCATTGATGGTGTCATTAGTATTGTCAGGTTCTCTCAATATGCGTTTGTTATGGTTATTAATAATATGTTCCATATTGTTCATGCAGCTGTAACTTAATTTAATTGTGTTGCGGTTAAATAGTTTTCTGAGTTTGTGGTCTATGGGAAAGTGCTTGTCAATTAGTGAAATGAATTTGTAGCCGATGTTTGTGCTGACGTTCTTGCTGTATGGTGGGTTGTACCAGAGTATGTTATTTCTAAGTCTGTTTTTCCGTTTCGTAGTAGCGTTTGGGTCATATTTCAGTGTGTAATGATATCCATTTTCGTCAAGTGCTTTTTGGTATGGAGGGATTGCTTGGTCGAATGATGCTCTGTCGGATGATAAGGATGAAAGGCGTTTGTTAATGGTATCGGGTATGTTCTTTTTAATGCTTGGAGGATGGTTGCTTTCGTGGTGGATGTATTGCAAAGAGGTGTTGGGCTTAGTGTAAGGTCGATGGGAAGAATTCTTTAGATCGAACGTAATGTCGAGGAAGTTAATGACTTTTGTTAACTTCAAATAAACCCACGTGCCGACTAATCAACCCGACGAAATCTGAAATTGGAAAAATTAGCAAAAATACTTGACAGAATAAACAACAATATCATAAAAGCCACTTCGCTGAACCAATGGAAAACTCGTCATCTGCCATCAAGTGGTTCAACTCCATCAAACACAAACAAAATCTACGGTGGCCCAACGGCAATGCTAGGAATAGAAATCAAAGTATTTTGCATGAAATGTTTTATTATGATATATATTAGTGGAGCAGTAAATATATATTCATTGCAGATATATTTAGATATATATTTGTAGTGCGCAGATATATATCAGATTTTCAGTGCGGATATATATTTATGGCAAGCAGACAAGCAGACACATATTTTTACTCCGCAAACATATATTTATAGTGTGAACTGTGAATATATACAAAAAATATAGAAACGTTTCAGCAACAAAAGAGAAACTGCGAGAAAATTTGTATTAAAGTTACAAAATATTGCCAATATGGTTGACATTCCTTCGCATGATTCTGATACAAACAATGTAGAAAACGAGCGAACTGTGATTGAATATTATTTTACTAGAGGATTCGAATATAAGAGCATAGTTAAATGTTTAATGTTTTTATTTTGTTTAATGTTTCCATTTTGTTTAATGTTTTCATTTTTAAACAATATCAATTTATCCATAAATGTATATCTGCGTACTAAATATATATCCGCACTGAAAATCTGATATATATCTGCGCACTACAAATATATATCTGCGCACTGAAAATATATATCTGCGCACTAATAATATATATCTACGCTGTGTACTGAAATTATATATCTGTGCACTGAAATTATATATCTGCGTACTGAAAATATATATCTGCGTACTGAAAATATATATCTGCGTACTTTATAAATATATCTGCTCAATGAATATATATTTACTGCTCCACTAATATATATCATGAATAATAAAAACATTTCATGCAAAATACTTTGATTTCTATTCCTAACTTATATATCCGCATTGCCGCTGTGGGCCACCGTAAAAATCACAATTTCATATCTTTCGACATTGTAGACTTCTACCCGTCTATCAACCAAGACCTTTTAAACAAAGCACTTGAATTCACCTCATCCTACGACAACATCACAAACCAAGAGAGAAACATTATCATACATGCCAAGAACTCATACCTCATTCACAACCAACAACCATGGCAAAAGAAATACAACTCCACATTCGACGTGACAATGGGCAGCTTCGACGGCGCCGAAACATGCGAACTCGTAGGAAGCTATCTACTCTCACAACTGCAACACATCATTACTAACATAGGACTCTATCGCGACGACGGACTAGCCATTACTAAAGCAACACCTAAAGAAACAGAAAAAATTAAAAAAGAGATATGCCGCGTATTTAACAACAACGGATTGCGTATCACTATCGAAGCTAAAAAAAAAGTCATTAACTTCCTCGACATTACGTCCGATCTAAAGAATTCTTCCCATCGACCTTACACTAAGCCCAATACCTCTTTGCAATACATCCACCACGAAAGCAACCATCCTCCAAGCATTACAAAGAACATACCCGATACCATTAACAAACGCCTTTCATCCTTATCATCCGACAGAGCATCATTCGACCAAGCAATCCCTCCATACCAAAAAGCACTTGACGAAAATGGATATCATTACACACTGAAATATGACCCAAACGCTACTACGAAACGGAAAAACAGACTTAGAAATAACATACTCTGGTACAACCCACCATACAGCAAGAACGTCAGCACAAACATCGGCTACAAATTCATTTCACTAATTGACAAGCACTTTCCCATAGACCACAAACTCAGAAAACTATTTAACCGCAACACAATTAAATTAAGTTACAGCTGCATGAACAATATGGAACATATTATTAATAACCATAACAAACGCATATTGAGAGAACCTGACAATACTAATGACACCATCAATGACAAAAATACACAAACAAAAAACATGCAACTGCCGTCAAAAACAAAACTGCCCACTTAACGGAAACTGCCTACAATCATCTGTCATCTACCAAGCAACTGTTAAACGTTTAGACAATAACACAACTGAGACCTACATCGGACTTACAGAAAACGAATTTAAGACTCGACACAGAAACCATACTGCCTCTTTTCGCCACAAAAAAACTAAGAAACTCCACCGAACTCAGCAAACACATATGGACACTAAAAGACAACAACATCGCTCACAATATCTCATGGAACATCATTACTCACAGCAAACCGTACAACAGCGCCAACAAAAGATGCAACCTATGCCTGAAAGAAAAACTCTTCATCACCTACCAACCACAACTATCATCACTCAACAAACGTAACGAACTTATCTCCTCTTGTCGCCATAGACACAAAGCACTTTTATGTAATTTGTAATCGTACACTCAATATATTATGTAATTCTATCTCAATTTTTAACCTAACTTCCTCTTGTATATATATCTAGCACATGCTTTGTATTCATTTAATATTATCCCCTGAAGAGTGAGAAATCACGAAACAGGCTTGTCGGGATGAAATTGTAGTTTTTGTGTATTTTCTTTTTCTCATCAATATTTACGCTCTGCTCTTAAGCATCGAGCACTGTACTTACGGAGATTCAAATAAACAAAACTTTCTATATATATATATATATAATTGATAAAATAATAAACCACGAATTACTTCATCGAAATTTATTCACTACAGAGCTGTTTCGTATGGCAGTTGTTTAACTTGCCACACTCGTCAGGAGAATAAATATAGCACTATAGCACAACGGAACTTATACACTAAGATGAATAATTAAGTGTTTAGGTGATATAGTATTACATTAATGACGTTAGTAAGTGTTTATTACGATGGCGGCATGCGGAAATGAGTTCGTTTCGTTTATTGAGCGAGCTGAGTTCTGGGTGGAAGATGATGAAGAATTTCTCCGAGAGGCATAAATTACAGCGTTTGGTTTTGTTTGAGTAAGGTTGTGATTTCTTTACAATTTTCCAATTGATGGTGTATGGCGTGTTAGAGTCTTTTAGTTTCCATATGTGTTTGCTAAGTTCTGTGGAGTGTTGTTTTGATTTATTTCGGAATGAGCTGGTGTGGTTCAAGTAGCGTGTTTTAAAAGTATTCTCCGTTAGACCGATGTAGGTTTCTTTGTGTTTGGTTAGTGTGTTGGTGACTGTGGCTTGGTAGACTACCCCTTTGGTTTGGCATTCTCCTTTTAGTGGGCATTCCTCTTTTTTTTCCGGCAGTTGCATTTTCTGTCTGTGGTGGCGTTTATCATCGTTTCTTCTTTGGTTAAAACGGTCTTATTGTGTGTAGAAATTATCGTATCGATGTTTGGCAGGCAACTGTAACTTAGCTTAAGTGTGTTTCGGTTGAAGATTTTGCTGAGTGGATGGTTTTTTGGAAAGGACCTGTTGATTATACTAAGGAACTTGTGTCCGATGTCTGTGTGGACATTGGAGTTGTATGGTGGATTGTACCAGGTGATGTTTCTATTTCTGTTTCTGTTTATTGACTTTCGTGTGGTTTGTGGGCTGTATTGTAATTTGTAGTTAAAGCCGCTTTTTTTGTTAGTGCTTCTTGGTATGGGTGTATGCTTGAGTCGAATGATTGCTTGTTGGATGAGATTCTTGAGAGCCGCTGGTTGATGGTTTCCGGGATTCTGCGTAGGATAGATGGAGGGTGGTTGCTGTGAATGTTTATGTATTGAGGAATGTTTCCAGGTTTGTTGTGTGGCTTAAAGGAGTCAGATCGTAAATCAAAGGTTATGTCAAGGAAGTTCACGGATTTCTTATTTGCTTTAATGGTTAATTTCAGGTTGTTTTCTTTGAATATTCGGCACAGTAGTTTCTTGATTTTTTCTATCGTCTTTGGGGCAGCATTGAATGCACCGAGGCCATCGTCGCGATATAAACCAATGTTATTTCTGTAGTCTGTAGGAAGTTGTGAGAGTAGAAATGAGCCTACCAACTGCCATGTTTCCGCTCCGTCAAAGCTACCCATTGTTACGTCGAAATTTGAGATGCTGCCTTTCTTGCACCATGCTTCAGATCTGTTGAATAATAGGGAATTCTTAGCTTGTGTGATTATACGCTTGTCTTTCTCTGTGATTTCTACAAATTCGGAAGAAAATTCCAGGGCTTTGTGTAGAAGGTCGTTTGATATCGAGGGGTAGAAATCAACGACGTCAAAGCTGATGAATGACTGGGAGCGTTTGTTGGGGATGCTTTTGAACCATTCAATCACTGAGTCGCTGCTTTGCCATTGCTTTACGCCGGTGTGTGCTATTATTTTGTTATTGATCCTTTCGAGAATCTTTCTACTGATGATGCCAATCTCGGATTTTGTTGGATTGATGAGTCGCGATGTCGGATTGTTGTTGAAGTTTGGTTTGTGGTATTTTAGTGTGATGAAGCAATTTTTCTCGGCTAGAGCGTCGATTCTGCTTTCGAGTTTGAGGTCTTTCGCTATTGATTTCTCTTCCCTAATGACTTCGGTTTTTGCGTCTGGTGAAGCTTTCTTATAGTTTTTGGTTATGTTACTTTGGAGGAGCTGTTGGTATGTGTTCGGATTAATGCGGTAAAAAGTTAGTTGTTTTATCGGCTGGCACAAATAGCATATTGTCTTTCTTGATTTTGTTCATATCTTGGCGTAGATTGTTTTGGAAGGTGGAGGTTGAGTTTTGGAAGTTAGTATTCTGAACAAGTGTTAACATTCTTTCTTCGAACTCGCGCAGTTCGTTAATTGGTGGTGGTGATTTTGTGGTCTTAAATCCGAAAGTCTCTTTTTGCGTCGGTGCGACGTTTGGGTTGAGGAAATGATATGCTTTCCATCTCATGCGTTGTAGGAAGTTTTGAGTTTTTTCAATCAGGCATCTCAGGTATACGTCTGGCTGTGCTATAGGGATGTTCTTCGTCGAGTATCCAAGGTTTGTGGGTTCCATATCGATATGTAGAGTGCTCAACAATAAAGGAGCGAAATATAATGGGATTTTGTGATAGAAACTATCGCAAACAAAATCGTACGGTTAGAGTGCTCAATGCCACGGCAGAGCGGTATAATTGAAAATATATATATATATGGAGTTCACTGGCTAAAACTCCCTATTACATCCCGGGCGGAGAGAGAGGGTGCGTCTGCGATGCATTATGGTCAGTGTAGTGGATAAAATGGTATTATTCAACTAATCCCATTTATCCCAATGATTTATATTCAGTGAACTGTAATAACAACAATTAAATGAGATATGATCTTCGCACTTAGCTGGACAATTTAAGCAATCGTCTCAGGACCTGAAAAAATCAGGTGACTCAACGGGATTCGAACCCATGACCTCTGCGGTGCCGGTGCAGTGCTCTGACCACTGAGCTATGAAGTCACACAGTGGTGAGCAGGTCAATATTGTTGGGCTCATGTTTTCTCGTGAAATGAATGTCATGTGAATGTTTTTTATGCTGAGACGATTGCTTAAATTGTCCAGCTAAGTGCGAAGATCATATCTCATTTAATTTCAAAACACCGCACTGCATAAAAAACATTCAAATAACAACAATGTTGTAATTACAGTTCACTGTTTATCATTGAAAATGATAAAAGATAAGATTAGAGGGTCAGCAAAAAACGATGTACATGTTGTATGAGTTCATGCTACGTAATTGATCGCTGAATACGAAAACTTTTTTCTGCACTCGTCAAAAGCAGGTATGTTACGTATGTATTCTCCTTTTCGTATTTACTGTTTTTGTATTTAAATTGTAATCAATTTTTGACTTTTAAGTTAAGCAACTGAATTAAGAAACTACAACCATGCTTTTAGAGTGTATAATGCAAAAGGTTTGTAAGCAGAATACAGGAAATGGATAGGACGTTATGACAAAGTCAATAAGAGCCAATGCTCTTGATGCACAAACAAAACTTTTATCCTCCTTTGGAGGAATATCGTTTCTGGAAGCGTTATCTCTTGTGCGGTAGAAAACTTGCTGCTTGGAGAATTCTGTTTCCAGGTTTCTACCTTCCTGCGCAGGGACTCTTGATCGTTTTTGCAGTCCTTAAGGGACTCTATTGCGAGTGCCTCTGCTGTCCTGAGAAGTTTGTTAAAATAAAACAGTGTGGTGTCAAGACAAATTGTGCACAAATAAATCTTAAATATCATAACGAAGAATACATACTTTCGCGCTCCCATGTAAACAATGTCTTGTTTCGTTGCTCACAATCAAAAACGGATTTCCAAAAAACTCAATTGGAATATTTCCCTTCTTGCTTTCAAACACTGGCGCTGCTAGAAAAAATAAATGATATGTTTTTTCAGCATTTTGTTTGTCTTCAAGTAAAACATTCTTATTATACTAAGCTATGCAGATGTGTTAGATAATAAAATGTATTTAAAAGAGATAGCAAAATAATTGGCGAGTCATTGAACGGTTTTTTCCTAATGAGTTTTTTGTTAATATAGATAGAAATGACTGTTAGATTCGATTCTTCTAACTCCATAGTGGAATGTCTTTGCGACTATAAAATGTTAATTGGTCATGCAATATTAAAGAAGGGGGGGGATGTAGCAGGCTTGGCTGCCCAATTTATGCGTCGGTTGAAAATCTCTTGGTGTTTTCTCGCTTTAATTTGGGGTAAGATGCTTGATGCGGTTGAGTTGATTACCTGTAAGTGAAAAACGTTTATTGCCCCTTGTTTTTGAGTGGTTGTCAGCTTTCACAAATGAGATAGAGTGAATTACCTAAATTCAAAAACCTCTTTCACTTTTCAAATATATTAGCTAACGCGTGAAATCAATTTATCAAGGTTTACGTATTACGGCCTTTGAAAGTTAACTGTTCAAGAATTACAAAAACCTTTTCCAGCCGACAAAACATGATCTCGTAGACTTAGCTATATTAGCTTTATAATGACTTTGAAATAATGTCAAAATATTGCTTTTAGATTTTGTTTCTTGCTATTATAACTGAAATTTTGAGTTTACATGATGATGTTTTTCGGAATATGTTACAAATTGTTTGCAGTTTGGTGCAACAATTGAAAACAAACTACGAGACCTGAAACTGTTCAAGAAGTTCTTCCATTTGCTCCACCGTTCCATCAATGTATCCTGTGCAGTAATTTTCCAGAATTTGCACACTTGCGAGTTTTTCTCTAAGGAAGTTTACTTGTTTATTTGAGCATTCTGCAGATTCACGCTGAAGAATTGTCTGCGCCATATACTGAGTATGAAACACGAAATTTGTTCCTTAATATATTTTAGTCTGTTGAAATGTTTAATAATGAGTCAGAGCAAACACTCGAACGCTTATACGTCTTTATATAAATTTCATTCCACGAGCCAGTAATGTGCCCACTTTTGATGCGAGGTTTTTATATTTTTTCTTAACTAGGTGGAGTTAAGGCGAGACCTATAAAGCACTTGAAAATCGCAAGTACCTATACGTAAGAATGAAGAGTGCGCGAATATTGAACATATAAATTAAGGATAGGCTATTTAGGTGCAGTTAAGGCGAGACCGATAAAGCACTTGAAAACGCAAGTACATATACGTAAGAATGAAAAGCGCGCGAATATTCAGCATAATGAGTATAGGCATTGAGGATAGGCCATTTCCTACGATCTAAGTAGTAACTTCTAGATTTAATCTCATACGTAAATTTAACGTCACAATGCGCGTTTGAAGTGTGATTTGTTATAAAATGACGACAGGTTTTGAGCAGAATACTTAGGATTAGAATACTTTTGAGCATCGACAATATCTTATAGAACATATTACAAGCAAGCTCAATAACAAAGAATAATATACTTCACAATGCGCGTTTGCAGTAACATTCGTTATAAAAAAGACCGCATATTTTGTAAAAGCCAAATGAACATATAATACAATGTGGGCGCTGTGCTGTATACTTTGTTACCGATTAGAATATTTTGAGCATCATCAATATCTTTTAGATCTAATATTGCTTTAAGAATAGAAACCATTTGGTAATTTTAATTAAGTTTTATCGTGTTGCAATTAATCATGTCATCCAATAGCAACCTTCGTTCATTTTATATCGTTTCCGGTTTACACGCGCGCGCCCTGTTTACTTCCTAGGACTGGAAACTAATTGACACGGGTAAGAGCTCCGTTTACTTCCGGGACCATACCTGCACCATAACTACTCAAAAACAGAGCTTTCTTTAAAATTGTTTTATAGTTCCTAAATGTTGCTTTTAAGAGTTTTTCCAGAGAAATAATTGTTGCAATGCTTTCAGATTTAGCAGATTGGCTGAAACACACCTGACAAATTCGACAAAAGAATTTTACATAAAAGTTTTACCTTATACGGGAATGAACATTGTTTGTCCTAGTGAAGCGTCCGTTAACACGTGGCGATCACGCCCTTTGTATACGGATTCGCTGTATGAAAACCTGTGGCACGTGAACAAAGCGGGATACGACAAATGCGAAGTGAATGACGGCGGTAAACTTCTCTTGGTGTGCAATAATCCAAGTTATGTCAAAAAATTGCAGTTAGGATTTCATCCGCGATACTCAGCTAAAGAGCCAAGATTTATTCCGGGAAAACATTACTACTTTATAAGTAAGTGATTTCATTTTAGCAATAAATCCATTTCTATTCAAGTGGCTAGTGTAAGGTTCGTAAGTCCCATGCCCGACTAACTTTAATCGACTAAATGATCAAAATAACCATCACTTAATAATGTTTGTATATACAAGGTACAAGCGTTGGTTATCCTGAGGATCTTCAAACCCGGAAGACTAGTGGGCCTGATGGACATTGTTTAACCAATCACATGAAACTTCACATCTATGTTTGCAACCCTAAAGTTGGTAGGTAGCCAGACATGAAGGAGTCAAACATTTAGTGTTTCAAGTGTGAAAAAAACAAAACTTTTTGTGAATATTGCAAAATTAAAACTCATTCCTTGTTGTACTGACTCTATTTGAAGAAGTAGGTACATGTAAGTATATCACAGTATGTTTGTAATTCAGAGACATGCATCTGGGAGCCACCAATATGCGAACCACCAAAAGAGATTCAATACCGAATGGAAATGATCAATGGTGTACTACAAAGACCAAGACTGCCAAGCCCACCAACAACTGAGAGCACATCATCAATAACTAAGTTGAAAAATAACAATTACTACGGGAGCAACATCTGAAGTTTTGCCCTCAAACACTGCAGTACAGAGAAGAATGTAAAGATGAAGGTAAAGATAATTTAGGCTATTAACTGGATCTCTTTACCATGCCATGAGAGTAACTAGCTCACTCAGTCAAAATTATCTGAGCATGCACAGTCCACTCAACCTTTTGTCAGAGTTTATGGTTATGACATAATAAAACTGGATTTACAAGTACCGATTCTAGAGTAAAAAGGTCTCTTACTTTAAATCCAGCACAAAGCGATTGTGTAGCTGTTATACTTTCATTTTCATTCGAGAGTATAAAATGTAAGTTTACAAGTTCAGTAGCTTAAGTAGTTTTTAAATTAAACTATGAGTATACTACCACCTATTGATCTCATTTACCAAGACAATTTTTTTTTGGTTCGTTTTATTGCCTCCGTTCATTTCGTGATGAATTTTGTTCTTGGTGGTGTCATACTGTTATGACAGTACCAAGAACAACGAAGAACGAGGTATCATGGAGGTGTCATACTGTTATGACACCACCATGAACAAGAAGAACGAGGCATAAGATAAGAGGAATATTACCTATATAAAGAAAGATAGTGGAAGCTATGTTTTTTAGTGGATACGTGGATACGCAGTGACGAGTTTAAAGAACGAGGCATAAGATAAGAGGATTAGTTTAAAGAACGAGGCATAAGATAAGAGGACTAGTACCTATATAAAGAAAGTTAGTTGAAGCTATGTTTTTTAGAGGATACGCGGATACGTGGATACGCAGGGACGAGTTTAAAGAACGACGCGTAAGATAAGAAGATTATTACCTGTATAAAGAAAGATAGTTGAAGCTATATGTTTTAGTGGATACGCGGATACGTGGATACGCAGTGACGAGTTTAAAGAACGAGGCATAAGATAAGAGGACTATTACCATATAAAGAAAGATATTTGAAGCTATGTTTTTTAGTGGATACGCGGATACGCAATGACGAGTTTAAGGAACGAGGCAAAAGATAAGAGGACTAGTTTAAAGAATGAGGCATAAGATAAGAGGACTAGTTTAAAGAACGAGGCATAAGATAAGAGGACTATTACCTATGTAAAGAAAGATAGTTGAAGCTATGTTTTTTAGTGGATACGTGGATACGCAGTGACGAGTTTAAAGAACGAGGCATAAGATAAGAGGACTATTACCTATATAAAGAAAGTTAGTTGAAGCTATGTTTTTTAGTGGATACGAGGATACGTGGATACGCAGTGACTAGTTTAAAGAACGAGGCATAAGATAAGAGGACTATTACCTATATAAAGAAAGATAGTTGAAGCTATGTTTTTTAGTGGATACTCGGATACGTGCATACGCAGTGACGAGTTTAAAGAACGAGGCATAAGATAAGAGGACTAGTTTAAAGAACGAGGCATAAGATAAGAGGACTAGAACCTATATAAATAAATTTAGTTGAAGCTATGTTTTTAGTGGATACGCGTAGACGTGGATACGCAGTGACGATTTTAAAGAACGAGGCGTAAGATAAGAGGACTATTACCTATATAAAGAAAGAAAGTTGAAGCTATAATTTTTAGTGGATACGCGGATACGAGAATACGCAGTGACTAGATTAAAGAACGAGGCATAAGGTAAGAGGAATAGTTTAAAGAACGAGGAATAAGATAAGAGGACTATTACCTATATAAAGAAAGAAAGTTGAAGCTATAATTTTTAGTGGATACGCGGATACGTGAATACGCAGTGACTAGTTTAAAGAACGAGGCATAAGGTAAGAGGAATAGTTTAAAGAACGAGAATAAGATAAGAGGACTAGTACCTATATAAAGAAAGATAGATGAAGCTATGTTTTTTAGTGGATACGCGGATACGTGGATACGCAGTGACGAGTTTTAAGAACGGAAAAAGATAAGAGGACTATTACCTATATAAATAAAGTTAGTTGAAGCTATGTTTTTTAGTGGATACGTGGATACGCAGTGACTAGTTTAAAGAACGAGGCATAAGATAAGAGGACTAGTACCTATATAAATAAAGATAGTTGAAGCTATGTTTTTTAGTGGATACGCGGATACGTGGATACGCAGTGACGAGGTTAAAGAACGAGGCATAAGATAAGAGGACTAGTTTAAAGAACGAGGCATAAGATAAGAGGATTATTACCTGTCTAAAGAAGAATAGTTGAAGCTATGTTTTTTAGTGGATACGCGGATGCACAGTGACGAGTTTAAAGAACGAGGCATAAGATAAGATGACTAGTTTAAAGAACGAGGCATAAGATAAGACGACGAGTTTAAAGAACGAGGAATAAGATAAGTGACGAGTTTAAAGAACGAGGCATAAGATAAGTGGACTAGTTAAAGAACGAGGCATAAGATAAGAGGACTAGTTTCAAGAACGAGGCATAAGATAAGAGGACTAGTTTAAAGAACGAGGCATAAGATAAGAGGACTAGTTTAAAGAACGAGGCATAAGATAAGAGGACTATTACCTGTATAAAGAAGGATAGTTGAAGCTATGTTTTTTAGTGGATACGCGGATACGCAGTGACGAGTTTAAAGAACGAGGCATAAGATAAGAGGACTAGTTTAAAGAACGAGGCATAAGATAAGAGGACTAGTTTAAAGAACGAGGCATAAGATAAGAGGGCTAGTACCTATGTAAAGAAAGTTAGTTGAAGCTATGTTTTTTAGTGGATACGTGGATACGCAGTGACGATTTTAAAGAACGAGGCATAAGATAAGAGGACTAGTACCCATATAAGAAAAGATAGTTGAAGCTATGTTTTTGATTGGTTACACGGATACGTGGATACGCAGTGACTAGTTCAAAGAACGAGGCATAAGATAAGAGGACTAGTTTAAAGAACGAGGCATAAGATAAGAGGACTATTACCTGTCTAAAGAAGAATAGTTGAAGCTATGTTTTTTAGTGGATACGCGGATGCGCAGTGACGAGTTTAAAGAACGAGGCATAAGATAAGAGGACTATTTTAAAGAACGAGGCATAAGATAAGAGGTTTAGTTTAAAGAACGAGGCATAAGATAAGAGGACTAGTTAAAAGAACGAGGCATAAGATAAGAGGACTAGTACCCATGTAAGGAAAGATAGCTGAAGCTATGTTTTTTATTGGATACACGGATACGTGGATACGCAGTGACGAGTTTAAAGAACGAGGCATAAGATAAGAGGACTAGTACCTTTATAAATTAGTTGAAGCTAGGTTTTTAGTGGATACGTGGATACGCAGTGACGATTTTAAAGAACGAGGCATAAGATAAGAGGACTAGTACCTATATAAATAAAGATAGTTGAAGCTATGTTTTTTAGTGGATACGCGGATACGTGGATACGCAGTGACGAGGTTAAAGAACGAGGCATAAGATAAGAGGACTAGTTTAAAGAACGAGGCATAAGATAAGAGGACTATTACCTGTCTAAAGAAGAATAGTTGAAGCTATGTTTTTTAGTGGATACGCGGATGCAGTGACGAGTTTAAAGAACGAGGCATAAGATAAGAGGACTATTTTAAAGAACGAGGCATAAGATAAGAGGTTTAGTTTAAAGAACGAGGCATAAGATAAGAGGACTAGTTAAAAGAACGAGGCATAAGATAAGAGGACTAGTACCTATGTAAAGAAAGTTAGTTGAAGCTATGTTTTTTAGTGGATACGCGGATACGTGAATACGCAGTGACTAGTTTAAAGAACGAGGCATAAGATAAGAGGACTATTACCTATATAAAGAAAGAAAGTTGAAGCTATGTTTTTTAGTGGATACGCGGATACGTGAATACGCAGTGACTAGTTTAAAGAACGAGGCATAAGATAAGAGGACTAGTTTAAAGAACGAGGCATAAGATAAGAGGACTAGTACCTATATAAAGAAAGATAGTTGAAGCTATGTTTTTAGTGGATACGTGGATATGCAGTGACGAGTTTAAAGAACGAGGCATAAGATAATAGGACTAGTACCTATATAAAGAAAGATATTTGAAGCTATGTTTTTAGTGGATACGTGGATATGCAGTGACGAGTTTAAAGAACGAGGCATAAGATAAGAGGACTAGTTAAAAGAACGAGGCATAAGATAAGAGGACTAGTTTCAAGAACGAGGCATAAGATAAGAGGACTAGTTTAAAGAACGAGGCATAAGATAAGAGGACTAGTTTAAAGAACGAGGCATAAGATAAGAGGACTAGTTTAAAGAACGAGGCATAAGATAAGAGGACTAGTTTAAAGAACGAGGCATAAGATAAGAGGACTAGTTTAAAGAACGAGGCATAAGATAAGAGGACTAGTTTAAAGAACGAGGCATAAGATAAGAGGACTAGTTTAAAGAACGAGGCATAAGATAAGAGGACTAGTTAAAAGAACGAGGCATAAGATAAGAGGACTAGTTTAAAGAACGAGGCATAAGATAAGAGGACTATTACCTGTATAAAGAAGGATAGTTGAAGCTATGTTTTTTAGTGGATACGCGGATACGCAGTGACGAGTTTAAAGAACGAGGCATAAGATAAGAGGACTAGTTTAAAGAACGAGGCATAAGATAAGAGGACTAGTTTAAAGAACGAGGCATAAGATAAGAGGAGTACCTATGTAAAGAAAGTTAGTTGAAGCTATGTTTTTAGTGGATACGTGGATACGCAGTGACGATTTTAAAGAACGAGGCATAAGATAAGAGGACTAGTACCCATATAAGAAAAGATAGTTGAAGCTATGTTTTTGATTGGTTACACGGATACGTGGATACGCAGTGACTAGTTCAAAGAACGAGGCAAGATAAGAGGACTAGTTTAAAGAACGAGGCATAAGTTAAGAGGACTAGTACCTATATAAATAAAGTTAGTTGAAGCTATGTTTTTTAGTGGATACGTGGATACGCAGTGACGATTTTAAAGAACGAGGCATAAGATAAGAGGACTAGTACCTATATAAATAAAGATAGTTGAAGCTATGTTTTTTAGTGGATACGCGGATACGTGGATACGCAGTGACGAGGTTAAAGAACGAGGCATAAG